TGACGCGCCAGGTGGTTGGTAGGGGGGCGGGGGTGGCTAGTAGTAGTAGTGGTAGTAGTAGTAGTGGTAAGAGTGGTAGTGGTAGTAGCAGTTGTAGTAGTACTCTAGTACTAGTACGAGTACTAGTACTAGTGGCAGCAACAGGAGCAGCATTAGCAGCAGCAGCAGCAGCAGCAGCAGTAGTAGTAGTAGTAGGACAACCAAAACAGTACACGATGAACGATTACACAGGTGTACACTCGACCCTGCCACCCGCAACGATCCGGAGGGGTTGCCGAAGTTACTAGGTGTTGAGCTCGATCGGCTGGCCGGAATCAAGGAAGACTTGAAGCGGCTGTCGCGGGTTCCGGAGATGGGGCCTCGGGATGGCTGGCGAGTAGCTGAATAGCGCATCAAGAGAGACTCGAAACTCGAAATGTCTATTGCGATGAACTTACGCCACCCAAACGTCAAGCTCCGAAGGCAGCCCCATGAGTCCAAAATTCACAGGAGGATACAGTCCGCAACGAATACTGTCAACCCCAGAATCAGCACAACACCACGACGGGAGCACGATTTCCACCCAAATTGACGATGAACTTACACACCGAACCACAAAGAACTCAATTTGCTGCGAATAAACCGAAAGACACGAAGCCACCATCAATGGAAGCGGTTGGACTGCGGGACTGCCGAATACCTGGCTTTGTACAAATGGCTCCAGCTCAGGCACTTGTGCGCGTTCGCTCTCATCTCGTTGCTTTCGGCATAGTTCAACTTGGCTTCTGTCAACGCGGCAAGATGCTGGGCCCAGAAACTCAGTTGTTGTCTATTGCGAGAAACATACATCTTCCATAGTCTTTGCTTGGCCAGCACCCTTTTTGATCGGCTTCGCATGTTTGTAGGTGAGAGTGGTTCGCTCTTGCTCTTGATCGGCTGCTTTCCTTTGGTCCGGCTGTCCTACTTCTTCAGCCTCATTTCATCAGTAACTGCCCAGGGCGGCAGAAGACAGCACTACTTGATCCGATTTCCCCCCGCTTCCCACCCAGTCACTGCTACCGCTGTGGGCACAACTTCGTTGTATTGAACTGAAAACATGTCGGCCCTGCTGTGAAGTTCCACAAGTTGGAATTTCCAGACAACGGAATGCAAACGACATTGCTTGTTGCCTGCCTTTACTGGTGTACTTCCGACTGCGCAATATGTTGTTCGGGCACCGGGCACCGATTGGAAGCTGCTCTGTTCGCAATCTACTTCTCACTTCTCAGTGCACTCAACGGCCCGGAGGCACCCGCCATGTACCAAAGCTTCCTTGCCATACCGGTCCTCTTCACGCCCATATTGTACAGTTTCTGTTGAGCCTGAGTCCCCTTGCACACAATCTCACTGCAGCAGGCTTCCAACTTCAACCATCTCACACTCCGACATCACAGTGCGAGTCCAGTCGTTTGTTCGTCGTACCACCGTTGAATCATATTGTAAACTGGGAGCGTGAAAGTTGATTATGCCTATGCCTTTAGTCGTGCTGCCTAGTACCGATTGCTGTGCAACCAACAATGCCAAACAAATGGTCTCAGATTGCGGGGGCACAACTTGCACCAGCCCTTTTAGCCCTCCAGACTCAACAGAACCGAACCAGATTTCCAGGTTCCACATAGTTTCCACGTTTTCAGAGGTCCTGCGATGCAGAGGCGACGCTCCTCGCGAACCCGGTCGGCTGCCTGGCCTGGCACAATGCGGCAGAGGCTTTTCCCACCGTCTCTTCAGCATTCGCCTTAGTCCAACGGCTCCTGAAGAAGGACTCCGCCTAAGTATCGGCTGAAACGGCAATCGGACAGTCTTGAAGGGCTGTGAGCAGCATGCCCCATTTGTGGAGACGGGGCTGCGCCTTGGGCGGGGGGGAGCGAGCGATGCAAATGGAGCAAGAGATCAGCTTGAGACCCTGGCCACGGAGGCCATTTTTGTCCGGTCCGGCTACCTTGAGCTGCAGCTCACGGTCAGCACGGATCTCCACCGGCAATCTCATGTTTGATAGCACAAGCTCATAGGCCCCCCGACAGAAGGAGTCCTGGCAAACACTCGGCACTCCGACAGACCAGTTAAGTGCACTGGCAGCACTACGTCGAACCCGGACCAATCTCTGAAGCTCGGCCTAAGCTCACTATCCTACCTCATCGGTGAGCCGCCCCTCGATCCGGGACCTCGTGCAAAGCGATAGCAACTGGCAGCTGGATCAGCCGACAAATACAACCTCATCCTCAGCCTAAGCTTGATGAGCAATGGGCCATCGCGTCGGCGTCGGACTTTGGTTGCTTGGTCCTCCAGCACCGCTTCAACGAGCTATGATTTTGCATGCTGAAGATCTCCTCATTCAGGGCAGGCTGCAGCTAGTGATCTACACAAATACATGGATCTACAGGAGAGGTGGTTGCGGATCATGCTCAAGTCTGGCAGAAAAATCTTGGACCTCCTTGGAAAGCCAGGTGTTGGGCCTGGCCGTCAGCTCATTCTACAAACTTGCCCAGAAAAGTGCAAGGATGCAGCCGGAGTTTGCTCGGCTTCTCACTTCAAGTCGATGATGATGCGACCCTCTCCATCGGTCCGCAGGACCGTAGCAGGCAACCAATCCTTGAAGCTGCACGTCTTGCGCGCGCACCCGCAAACGAGATCGCGCGCGCAGGCAAGTATTTCAACCCGGAGATGCACTTGAGGAGGAAGCTCCATGAGACACGGAGTAGTACTCGACCATGTCGTTGGTCCTGTAAGGACCTGACATCATGTCACGGTGCATCTTGGCGCCCTGGCACAGGCGCTGGGGTCTGACTTCCAGCTTGCGACCAGCCCACCTTCCAAGCGATGCTTCGTAAGAAACGGGTACGTTTGTGCCCGCACGTGCAGACTGTGCCCCGAGCACTGCTAGAGGAAGTTGGCTCTGGATGTGGCTCTACCGCAGCAGGATCATCAGCCGCCTTGCACAGCAGCAAGGGTCCCTGTATTCTCGTCAGCTGCGGCTGGTCACCTGGGCAGCCTCTTGTGCTTCATCGAGCATGAGCTGCATTATTTCTCGCAGCCGCGGCCTGCTGCATGTGAAGACTCGCATGTCGTTTCATGCATAGGTGAATTACATCAGTGCTTGGCGAAGCCACTTTGCCAAGATCTCCTCTGGACTTGGCCGCCGCTCAGGGTTCCTGCACGGAAGGTTGCATAGTTCTTCTTGTGCCCAACACCGCAGGGGGCTAGGGGTGAGGATTTGGGCGAGGTGGAGGAAGTGTACTACAGGCGCCTGTTTGGGAAGGAGAGGCGACCCTGGGCAGGAAATGCAGTGCTGGTGCTAGCCTGGAGAGCAAGATGCCAAGCCTACGGGAAAGGAGCCAGGAGATAACCAAACAGCCCAAAACCCACAAAATGCCGACACCTGCTGCTATCCGAGCTGCTCAGATGCGATGCAAAGAAACACAAGGTCTGAAATCTTAAGGCAATGATGATGAACGACACCCCGTGGCCGAACCTACAAAAACACACAACACATCGCAGTCTCTTGGGAATACGTGCATGGCCGCCATTCTCTTGATGATCGAAGAACTCGCCTGTTCAGCATCTGGCTCACGAGCTCCCTGACAAACGGCGAGTAAGAAGCGGGCCTGAGTCGTGCAAGCGTCAAAGGATTTATAGGCTCGCTATGACTGCGGTGCTTTGGCAACACGGAACTGCTGGGCAGCAGTCACGCTGGGGATTGTTCCCCGCACCTTGACACGGCACGCACCGAAACACCTCTGCATGAGAACACTGTCTTCTTGAGCTGCACTTAGCTACTCCAATCAAGGTGGTCAGAGAAACACCGCCGCAATGCGAACACAAACATGTCCTGCGAATGGATCTCCGCCCGGCATCTTATGCCAATCTTATGTGGCATGGAGCTGTTTTCGGGCGCTGCTGAGGTTTAGAAACTCGTTTCTGGGTCCGGTGCTGGTGGTTCAGGGGTCGGTTTTTCTGAATGTTGAAACAACAAGACAAAGAGTGGGCGGGCTGCTTGCATGGATCGAAGGCTTGCGTTGCAAAACACAGCAGCATCTTGCTCGACTCTGGCAGCGTGTTGGCAGGCGACAGCTCCATGGACAGGAAGTATCATGTCGTGACATCCGTGTGTTGAAGGACCTTACCACACACGAGAGCTCAATCTGAACGTCCTTTTGCTCTCGGGCCTACACCATCCTACACCTGTATGCAAACATGCTTGGCTGTTGATGCGGTTTGGGCTTCGATCAATTCGAATGTGTGCGTGTGTGTAAGTGAGAGAGAGAGAGAGAGAGAGAGAGAGAGAGAGAGAGAGAGAGAGAGAGAGTGTATGCGTGTGTGTGTGTGTGTGTGTGTGTGTGTGTGTGTG